CCCGGCACGGCTGCCTGCACAGAGCGGGGCCCGGGGGGCCCTCCATGCCACGAAACCCCCACCGGGCAAGGGACACCAAGAGAGACGTCACCTGGGAGAAGACGGCGCAGGTGCCCTGACATCCCCAACCTGCCCTGACTGGGCACCCCTGCATTGCTCTGGGCATCCCCAACCTGCCCTGGGCATCCCTGCATTGCTCTGGGCATCCCCAACCTGCCCTGGGCATCCCTGCATTGCTCTGGGCATCCCCAACCTGCCCTGGGCACCCCTGCATTGCTCTGAGCATCCCCAACCTGCCCTGGGCACCCCTGCATTGCTCTGGGCATCCCCAATCCACCTCAAGCACCCCCCCCTCCTCCCTGGGCACCCTGCTCTGCCCTTGCCCATCCACCTCCAGCCTCCCCATGGCCCCAGCTCTGCCCCCGGTCCCTGCAGCTCCCATCCCCGTCGGCAGTGCCTGTCCCGCACCGGCTGCTCACACTGGGCAGGGTCCCAGGGGTGAGGTCTGGACCCCCCCGACTCCTCGATGCCTCGCGTTTCTTTTGTGTTGCACAGATCACACACAGCGGCTGCAAATCAGGTCTCTACCCGGCTCTGCTGCATTTACGAACCCTGGGTTTCCTACAGCCAAGACCCATTGAAAACAAAGAGGAAAATGGGCCGAGGAACCTGTCCAGGTGGAATAAGAAAACTAAATGGGAATCTAACGTAAGGAACCAGCACTTACTTGCAAGAACAATTTTGTTTAAACCAAGGATGAATGTAAGTAAATAATAAGGTCTGCAAACCCGCTAGCTACAGATGATTTTCTTATTTCTGCATTTTTACAGGCTGTGCTCTCCCATAAGCTCTGCATATAAAGCGGTGGCTTAATCTCAGCCTTGTGGGCAGAGAGATGACCACAAATTCAGATTGCCAATGTCCTTGGGTCCGAACGGGAATGGCGTCGGCCAGCTTAAAAACACAGATGGGCTTGGGGGGGAGCGGTGCGCTCTCCTGGTTGGCACGGAGGGGACGGGATGGTGCCGGTGCCGCTCCCCAGGCAGCTTTGCTGGGGCATCGCCAGCCCACGGCCAGCGCCGAGCAGCGGCTGGGGCACCCTGCAGCAAAGCGGGACCGGGGGGAGAGGGCAGGAGCCGGGGTGGGGTTTAGGCTCCTGCCCCCGAGGAGCAGCGGGGCTGCACTCCCAGAGACTCACCATTCCAGTAAAGCCCACCGAACTTCTGAGCTTGGAGAGGTTTTATCTGCAGGCTCCCAGAGCGTGCCCAAAACACAGGTAACGAGCAGGGCGCCGGCAGCAGCAGGCGAGCAAGGCCAGGCTGCACAGCCATGAATATATTCATTATCAACCAGCACGAGCCTGGTGAGCTCCCTGCTCGCGGCTGGAGCTTGGCTGCATGA